TAAAATAAGAACCTTCTATAACATTTAACAGAGGTATGGTTACAATGAAAACATATGGTACTACTCACTATAAATCTATTTATGTGCAGCTCTTACGTTGGTCGTCAACAGACATGGTTACACTGACAATATATAATATTACTCACTAAAACTATGTTTCTACTAAAATTATCTATCTGTTATTCCCGGTCAATATTGCTGTATTTGTAAATATTAATTCTGCAAAATATAAGTTAACGTAATGAAACAATAATAATAAATTCGAGCCCACTGAATTCACAGTGTTTCCTTAAGGAATTTAATCCCCTCCTAGTACCCAAGGTAATGGATTATTTCCTCCCAGGATAGAACGAATAACACACTGGTGTAGCGGTACTTCAAACCCCAGTGTTTCGGCGAACACAAAGTTCGGTAGCAAATCACACTTACAGTTGCTTTGTTTGAAGTTAAAAAACAATGCAGAACGAAGGAGTATATACTCAGAAAAACGTATGGAAGTTCTGAGAGGAAGGAGTGCAATGTATAGCCAATTTGTTGAGCGAATTGTATGTTGAGTTGAGTATCTTTCTTCAACATTTGCTGCTCATATATATAGCAGCCAAGAAGGAGTGCAAGACCAAACGTCCACCCTTCATGGTGGAGCAAGCATTACATGTTTGTGGAGCAAGCACTTCATGTTTGTGGAGCAAGCACTTCATGGTGGGAAGACCATTATCCGGCTGCCAAATTATCAATACACGGATTGGAAAATATCCGTTTACAAATACGGATAATCTTACGTTAATATTTACTATTAACAAATAAATTTGGTCCAAAAAATTAATCAATCAATCGATCATTTGACCAAATCCAAATCCAAATCCAAATCCGAATCCGAAGCCGAAGCCGAAGCCGAAGCCGAAGCCGTAGCCGTAGCCGAAGCCGAGCCGAGCGAGCGACGACGACGACGGCGCGAGGCTTGCTTTCTTCTTAACTCTTTAAGAGCTACAAGAAGAGCAATTATATATATACCCACCAAAAATGTCTTCCACTTCCAATATGGGACAATGTCTCATTGTTAAGAGGGGGAAACTTAAAATTTTACTCAAAATTTCATTTTCCCTCCATTTCTCATTCACCCTCATTTTAAGAATATTACATCTTAAAATAAAACCTCAACACTATCTCTGTAAGCTAAGTTAACGGATAACTGATGAAGACATTTTGTGCATTGCTGATAAAATGTTGTAGATTTTATGCAATTCCTCTTCCTACAACATAACTTCATAGAATGATCTGGAAAAAGGATAATGATGGCAACTAGTCTGTCAGCTCTTGCTATAAGCTTTTAACCTTAAGCCCTCTTCTCACATAACTCACATAGGCTCTTTACTTCTAGCCCTCCTCTCCATAATTATTGGTTTTATTTGAACAACATTGCACAATGATTGTTTGACAAAAGGTTACACCTTATGTAATAGATTTTAACTTTGCTCTATTAACTCAGAAGACATGAGTTTTTCTTTGCATTGTCCCATAGCTACTCAACAATGCAAGTGTTGTAGTTAAATGGAATCATGCCCGGTGATCTAAGAGGCGCTACCAACATCTTTCAGAATGAAGATAGGAACACAAGGCCGTTTCGAACACGGTACTTGCTTGAATACCGGTACTTGCTTGAATACTATGGGCAAGCTAAAAGAAAGAAACTACTGAGGTTTTGAAGATGCATCTGAAATATACACACGAGAATGCAAATACAAATTTGAAGATGTATGTCACGTCCTTAGTCTTTGACTAAATACACGTGCGGTACTTGACAACTCGCTCACGATTTTGCACAACTTGATCACGATCTTGCTATGCCAAGTCAGCCTTAATACACTAAAGATCGCTAAGGGAATGTTATAAACACAAGAGAATTACCAAAGAAAGCTTTTGTATTAGAGAAAACTTGAATGTTTTGCTCACTGAATTACAAATGAATGGCCCCATTTATATACTAGTCTCCTAGTGGCTAGTATGTAAATATTAATTATTACACAAGTCTTAACATTTACAAGATAGGGGCTTTCTCTAGAACTCTCTATAAACCTAAAAGATTCTAAGGACTTTTCTAACAAATCTATAGGGATCTAGGGTCTTCCTAAGAAAATATTCATACTCATCTAGAATCTTTTCACAAATGCTAGCATTCCTCTTATGTAGGCTTCCACATGACATTAATATACACCAAATGGCACCTACGTGATATGATGATGTGGCGGGTCATGAAACTTTCCCCCACCCAATTTTGTGCCGCCCTCGGCACAAAGTATCGACACGTACATGCGCACCTCGCCTAAAGGTAGGGGAGATCTTTGTCCATTAACCATGATGCTCTATGGAGCGGTTCGCTTTCCCATGTCACACGACACTGGTCACATTTCTTCTTGCCTCGTTTGTACTTTGGATGGCTAGCAATGATGGTCTCGATCCTCTGCCCATCGGATGCCTCTCCTTGCTCCTGGCCTGAATCTCCCTATGACTCGACCAAGACTAGAACCTTCTCAAGCATCGGGTCCCTGCTTCCATTCCTTATTTGGATGCCATCAGTGGTCCCAGCCTTGCCAGCAAATTTGACCCCTTTTCTTAGTGCCTCGTCTAAGTACGATAGCGTGCCATCACTTTGTAACTTACCATCCTCTTCAACTATGTCCGCCCAACTTTTCTTGCTACCACCACGCTCAATTTGCATGGCGCCAAGATAGGCTTTGGAATCCTCTACTTTCTACTTAGATTCCAAGTGCATCCCCCCAATGCAGGCAGTTTCTCCTGTATCATCCTTATGTGCCTGAGCAAAGTTCCCGATCATTGCTACAAGCTTCCCCAACTCTGGACATTCACTTGCCCGATGTGATCCTTTACAGAAGTAGCACCCTCCATTAGGCACGTACTCGCTGCCATTTTTCGGCCCCTTGCCGTTTCTCTTGGACCCCTATCCGTTATGGGACGACCCTTTGCAATTACCCTTGTATAACTCGGCTATGCCTTTCCCGTTGTCCTTGTCATGATCTCCCCTACCTCTCTCGGCATTGCCTTCTTTGGACTTAGCAGGCTCCATCTTGAAGTCAACGAGCGACTCGGCTACCCCTATGGCCTCGTCCATATTGGCTACTTGATGTCTTCTTAACTCCTACTTTACCCAATTTTGCAACCCATCCATGACGTAAAAGAGAGAATTTTCCTCGGATAACGACATGATTTGCAGCATTAAGGTAGTGAACTCGCGCACATACTCCCGAATTGTGGCCGTTTGTCGGAGCTCCCTTAGCTTCCGCCTAGCCTCGTACACTACATTCATCGGGTAGAATTGCTTCTTCAACTCCTTCTTGAACTGCTCCCACTTCTCAATCTTGCATAGCCCCTTCTCCATGTCAGTATACTTTCGACGCCACCATAACGCGACAACCTCGGTCAAGTACATTGAGGTGTTGCATACCTTAACAACTTCTTCATCCTCCTTGACTACCTCAAAGTACTTGTTCATCCCCCAAATTAAGTCAGCCACCTCACGTGCGTCCCGTGCACCGCTATACTGCTTTCTCTTAGGACCTTTACATTGGTCCCTTTTGCAAGTACCACACTCTTGATAATTCCGACCATGGTTCCCTACAAATCTTCCTTCTAGCAATCTTTTGTATTCTTTCTAACATTCCTTTAGTCATAACCTTTGCTCTGATACCACGTTGTCACGTCCTTAGTCTTTGACTAAGTACATGTGCGGCACTTGACAACTCGCTCACGATTTTGCACAACTTGGTCACGATCTTGCTATGCCAAGTCAACCTTAATACACTAAAGATCGCTAAAGGAATGTTAGAACACAAGAGAATTGTCAAAGAAAACTTTTGTATTAGAGAGAACTTGATTGTTTTGCTTGGTGAATTACAAATGAATGGCTCCCTTTATATACTAGTCTCCTAGGGGCTAGTATGTAAATATTAATTGTTACACAAGTCCTTAATATTTACAAGATAAGTGCTTTCTCTAGAACTCTCTAAAAACCTAAAAGATTTCAAGAAATTTCCTAGCAAATCCATAGAGATCTAGGGTATTCCTAAGGAAATGTCCATACTCATCTAGAATCTTCTCACAAATGCTAGCATGCCTCCTATGTAAGCTTCTGCATGGCATTAATATACGCCAAATGGTACTTACGTGGCATGATGATGTGGTAGGTCATGACATGTATCTGCGATATACACACGAGAATGCAAATGTCTGCGCCTGTTAACTTTTAGACTAACTTACAAGATGTATATAACTTACTACATAACATTTGGTGTTAATTAATAAAGTTGATCACTTATCCTAGGATTCTGTTGTTGAAGAGTTGGTCATTGGCCTATGCTCTGCACGGGCAGCAAGCATCTAGTAATTAATAGAAAATGTATAATTCATGAAAAATGCAATTAATCTAAGCTATAATTCTAATTATATATATATATATATATATATATTCTTTTGATTTCATCAATATATATGATTGATTTTTGATTGCACAAATATACACAAACGTGGATCCAAGAATTAAATTTTATGGCCAAGATTCAAAATTTAATATTTGTACTTATTTTATAGGTTTTAATATATGTATAGAGTCTAAACTAAAGCTATTGGTTCAGATAAACGTGGCTCCTGCATATATAGATTAAATTTATCTCTTTTATCTCAACTAATTTTAGGGGGGAAAATTAAATTAAATTTATGCCTTGTCAATTTACTAGTTCAATAATAAGACTAAGGGCTAATTTTGGAAGCACAAGTTTATTTTAGGGTAGGTGGACGTTATCAAGACCCAACAACAGTTTGTTATAGTTCTTCACGCCAAACACGTGCCATATACGGAGGCATATACGTGATTCAAGTGCATAGTATCTTCTTTTATATACTTAATTCCTCCATAAATGACTCCATTCGACTGAATATAGAGTTTTAAAAAAGAAATTCCTTTTGGTCCGCCATGAGATTTCTATAGCTATATATGTTATTAATATTTAAATAAAAAATTCATATCATTCTATGGAACTAAATAAATTAATTGTGTGGATATCTAGTTCTACACGCCAAACACGTGCTATAAAAAATCCAAAATGAAGTTATTCTATCTCATGGAAAAAGAAGAAGAAAGAAGAGTAAGTTGACATTTCTTTATTGCTCAATAACTAACTGAGATAATAATAATACTACAATAAGTGTGTAATTTTCAAAGTAGTAGGAGTAAATGGAATCACCATTGCTCGATGACTATTCCGGCGACCACCACTTCCAGCTCATCGGCCCCGACGGTGACTACCGGCCGATTAGAGGGCTGAAGGAATGGTGGGCTGTATTCTGGATCGAGAGTGCAAAGCTATGGGAGATTGGTGGCCCAATAGCTTTCAACATTATCTGCCAGTACGGACTCTACGCAATTACTGTTGCTTTCTGTGGTCATCTTGGAGCTACAGAGCTTTCTGCTGTTTCTGTTGCTCAAACTGTCATTGGTATTTTCGCTTTCGGCTTCATGGTTCGTGCCCCTCTTTCTTTTTCCTTTTATTATTCGTTATTAATTAATGCGCTTTTGTGCTTTTAGTTTCTCATATGGGTATATTTCCTAATTCCTACTACCGCAACTACTATAATACTCTTTGTTGTACTGCACAAATTGTTTAATTACTTTAAAATGGAATGTTAATATGTTATGCTACTAATAATAACAATCTAAAACGGAGTTAGACTGAGAATAATGACACAATTTTGTTAATTGATTATGCAGTGGTTGCCTACCTTTGTCATTAGATAATTATGTCTAAGTACTGTTATTAAATGTAATTTTATTCCACATCCTCTTTCGAGCACCGGTTATTCCAGTATTAGCAATGCATAGTTTAATACCTCAAACTAAAACTTGCATTAGTTATATTGTGATTTTGTAATCAAAAGCAGATCTTGTATCAGTTAGATATTAAATTAGTAATAGGAGGCTGAAGTTGCAAATGGAACGATGTATTAGTTATGCGGAACTTTATACTGGGATTATTTATTCTCATCTTTCTTATGACTCCTTTGTTTCTTATATGGGTATATGTAATCTATCTGTAGATAGGCATGGGGAGTGCTCTGGAGACGCTCTGTGGGCAGGCATTTGGTGCTGGGCAAGTACACATGCTTGGAGTTTACACACAACGCTCAATGATAATTCTACTTCTGAGTACCTTCCTTCTCTTACCAATCTATATTTTCGCGACTCCAATACTTAAGCTCCTTGGCCAAGATCATGAGATTGCTGTTGTTGCGGGGAGGTTTGCCATGTTAACCATACCTGAGTTGTATTCCCTGTCTATCAATATTCCCACTTCAAAATTTCTGCAAGCCCAGAGTAAAGTTGGTGTGCTGGCCTGGATTGGTTTTGTGGCTCTCTTGGTCCATGCTCTTCTCCTATGGCTCTTTATTTTTGTATTTAAATGGGGTTTAACCGGGGCAGCTATATCCTTTAATCTCGTAGGTTGGGCCAATGCAATAGCTCAATTTGTTTACGTAGTTGTTTGGTGCAAGGATGGGTGGAAGGGATGGTCTCGGTCAGCATTCAATGACATATGGGCTTTTGTTAGACTGTCAATTGAGTCGGCTGTTATGCTATGCCTTGAAACCTGGTACATGATGAGTATTATTATTCTCACCGGCCATCTCAAAGATGCAGTCATTGCAGTTGGATCCCTCTCTATTTGGTTAGTCTCTTGTCTTGGTTCTTTTCCTATTTGGTTAGTCTCTTGTCTTGGTTCTGCTTAAGCTTGGTAAAATGAAGCTAGACATTCTCTAGCTACTGAAGTTTTATCTAGAGATTCTTGATCCAGGGTACTGCCTTTTGAGCATAAAATGTGAGTTTGATTTGACTTGAACAGCACAATTTGGCAGTGCAGAGTTCTTTGTTATTTGTAACTGACAGTGAGATGAAATGTTGTGAGTTCTATATTTAGATTCATGTCAATGTTTTCTGTCTTTCAGCATAAATATTGATGGATTTGAAGCAATGTTTTTCATAGGAGTAAATGCTGCTATAAGGTAATGAAATTCTAAAGCTTGCAGAAATGTGCATTTAATTTGTTTGTAACTCTGTGCTAATATCCTGTTGCTTTTCCAGTGTTCGTGTCTCAAATGAGCTTGGGCTAGGACGTGCCAGGGCAACCAAGTATAGCGTCTGTGTCACAGTGTTTCAGTCGCTTCTCATTGGGATAGTATGCATGATTGTAGTATTGGCAATAAGAAATCATCTGGCCATTCTTTTCACAAACAGCAAGGTTCTGCAACGTGCCGTAGCTGACCTTGCTTGGCTTCTAGGAATAACAATGCTTCTTAACAGCGTTCAGCCTGTGATATCAGGTGTTGCGTTAAATCAGTTTTACTGTGTCAATACATAGAGCGTCTTACTCCTTCATAGTCCTTAAAGTGTCAAATGTCAATACATAGTGATCTTGTTGGGGCTATTTTTCACTTGCAGGTGTTGCTATTGGAGGTGGATGGCAAGGTCTAGTGGCTTATATCAATTTAGGCTCTTACTATGTTTTTGGTATTCCTCTAGGATACGTTCTTGGCTATGTGGCGAACTTCGGAGTTATGGTAAATAAACCCTCGTCCTGAAAGTTACACATCTCAAGTACATCGAAATTTAAATCTTTTTGAATCTCTTACTCTCAACCAAATTTCTTTTAGGGACTATGGGGAGGAATGATAGCTGGACTTGCTTTGCAAACACTGCTACTCTCAGTAGTACTGTATAGAATTGATTGGAATAAAGAGGTATGTGAATAATGGTTATTTTTATTCAATTAAACTCCATAACACTTCATGTTCGACATTTTAGTTTGATTATTTGTTAGAGTCATCTGCTGATCCTCTGCAGAAGTTACTCTATATAGACAGCAGTAAATTTTGTTTTTAACTTGAAAGTTTGTATCAAGATCGCTGTGACAAGGCCAGTAGTTCAAGTAGTGCAGAATTTTCTAGTCCTTCTACCTTTTCTTTGGAAACTTAAAACTGAAGTAAGACTAAGTTAAACACTTCATTAGTCTTTTGTAGTAGTAATAAGAAAATGGAAATGCAGGTTGAGCAGACGACAGAGCGCATGCGGAAATGGGGAGGTCAACACATTGAAACGGAGAAAACTGCTAGTCCCCATTCTCCAAAGGGCTTAAGAGCTAAGATTTACGCGTGATACAACTGAATGAAGAATTATCTTCTTGTTACTTTTTGTTTAGTAGTGTATGATTTAGGACGGAGCCTACACTTTAAATATGAGTCATTGGCAATTTTGTTCCTTCTATTTTCTATTCTACTTTAGTGCCTAAAATGCATTGATTCTGGCTTCTCGGGGAGTATCAATTACTCCTTCCGTCCCATTTTCAATGTCATTTTAGTTTTAAAAAATTATCTCAAAATAATTATCACTTTAAGAATTTAAAATTAAATTTGTTAATTGTTTTTAACTATAACCTTAATATTAAAGTAGTAGTTCTTTTAATACTACTACCCAATTCCCAAAAAGCGTTTAATACGGGTAATTTAGTAAATTACACTTATCTTGTATTTTTTATTTTTCTTAGTGGACTCAAAAAAAGCTAAAGCAAGAATTAAAATGGGGAGAAATTCAAAAATAGACACATTTATAAGTGGTAATTGAAAAATAGTCACAGTTTCAAAAGTAATCGAATTTAGCCACTTTTCATTTAAAGATAAATCTGAACGAAAACACTGTTCAAAATTCAGAAAATATTCCAGCATAATATACTGGAGTTCCAGTATAATATTTCAGTTCAGCATAATATGCTGGAAGTTCATACACAGGTGCTCCAATCTCCAGTATATTATGGTGGAACTTTCCTCGTGTTAGAGTTCCAGCATAATATGCTGGAAGTTCATATACAGGTGCACCAATCTCCAGTATATTATGCTGGACCGGTCCGTGTTGCAACAAAATAGTAGCTATTTTTCAATGACTTTACAAATGCTGGCTATTTTTCAATTACCAGTTCGAAAACTGTGTAGCTTGTGCTATTTTTACATTAAAATGGGACGAATAAAGTACTAAGGTCACGAAATGCTAACTACACTAGACATTAGAGGAAGAGTAAGAAGAGTAGTTAAGAACTTGAGAGTTAACTAGACACTAGACTTGAGAGTTAAGAACTTTCTCAAAAAGTGCATGTGACTTCTCTTTTGACTTCTCTCTTTCAGATAATATGAATTTTTCTCCTTTCTTTTCCTGGATGACAATTCATTTGCTCCGGTTTGGACATAGAATTTTTTTTACTTTTTTTAAAAACAAGTTAAAAATACCGGTTGTTCATGAAATTTGATGATTTAGGCCAATTTTTGGGTAAAAGTTTTCCTCTACTCTTAAAAAGTTATTCTTCAACACAACTTTAAAATTTTTTTTTTTCAAGTTTCAACCAAATCTATGTCCAAACGCTAGTTTATTTCAAAGGATATGAATATTCGCTCTTAATAATTGGTTCTCCTAACCTAGAGGAGCAATTAATTACCGTTATTTCGTAGGACCATTGATGGTTAATTCATTTTTTATTTTATTTTTCAAAGGAATAAAGCCTCCGGCCTCAGAGTTAAGTTAGTTTCAAAGTGAAATACTCAAAGTATATTTAATACCATCATAGGCATGGTTAATTCATTTAAAGAGACATTTTAAGCACGTACATTGAGCTATATAATTTCAATCTTTCTCAACAAACTTAAAGAAAGTTAATCAGAAGAGTTCTGATGGGCAAAATGACAAAAGATACACAATAGAGCCAGACAACCCCTTGGCATGTCACAGCCATTGCCAATTCTGATAAAGTTTGGCTAGATTTTCAGGTAATTTCATTGGAAATCGTCTTACAGTTGCACGAAAAGAAATCATTTTTGTAGTAATTAACAGGTTGAGTAAAGTTACTTATCGCCCTTGTAACAGCCCTACACTGTTTAATTTAGAGGTTGCGCCAACTATTTACGGGCAATGTCTCCAAGCTTCATAGTTTATAGCATCATCCATTCATAAACAGGGATACATATTATAAAAGATCTGAAAATAATACATCATCAATTTTTTAATGAACATTTTTTTCTATTCAAATGTAAAGGGTTGTGTTCACTCATTCCTGGAGCATGAAATATACCGGCCGGCCGATTGAAGCTAATTGCATTTTGTTAGTCGAAAAGTATATAAAGTATGTATTAATGGTTTTTCGTTGTTAGAAACTGTGGGCGCAGAAGAGAAGTGTGGGATCAATTGCTGAAAAATATCGAACACGTTGTTCGCCCACGTAAGATTTGTAGTTTTTCATCACCGTCTCTTTAAATGAATAATCTGTGGGAACTAGTCCCGTGAAAAGTAAACAAATAACTAAAATAAGAAAAACAAAAGAACAAGGAAAAGAGAGATAAACAAAGTCAGAAGTTTGGTTATAACAAGTTACAAAAAGTAACTTGGGCGGTGGAACAACTTATTAACCAAATTTGCAATCTTGCAAATTGGCAAGTAGGCGGCAGAACCAATTTTGATTGGTTGTGTTAAGCATCCATTCAGCTATAAACAGGGACGATGTATCCACATTTCAAACACACCAAAACATATAGAAGCCATAGAAGTAAGAGAGTAATCCACGTATTAACGTGGAATAAATAGTGAGTGTGAGTAATATTGTAGTGAGGTGTTTTAAATAGTGTTATTTCTTTCAAAAAAAATTATAGTAGTCTCTTGACACTACTAAGTTATAATATTATAGTAATAATATTATTTCGTTTGGGTATTGTATTTTACCCCGATAAAAGATTTGATATCGTTGTTACTCTCTTGTTTATTGTTATTATCATGGATATTATTCCTGGGCGGGATATAATTTTTCCCAACATAACCATTGAACAACATTAAAAAATTTCGAAGCTTTAAATTTGAAAATAGAATTTTTTGAAATTGTTATTTTTTGGATTAGGAGTTGCTGTAAATGATTGGGAATTCCTTATGGAGCTTATATCTCAGTTTTGAGAAAATTTGGTGAAGATTTGAAGTGATTTTGATTAGAATTTATTGAAACTCGAAAAAGAAAACAAACAAATTGTATATAGTGTGTATTTCGGGTATAGAAACGGCATACAAAATATATACAACTAACATAATTATATATAAGTTGTATATAAATTGTAGTTTTTGACCGGATTCTGTATTAAAAAAAATTATATTTAAGTTGTAATCCGAGGGTCTATGGGAAATAGTCTCTCTGTCATTTCAAGGTAAAGGTAAGGCTGCGTACATCGTACCCTCCTCATACCCCATTTGTGGGATTATACTGGATAGTTGTTGTTGTTGTTGTTATATTTAAGTTATAGATAAATTATTATTTTTTACCGAATTTGAATATATTTTGTTAAAAAAAGTTAATTACCTTTTATAAATAGAAAAACTTAGATAAAATCAGATAAATAAATTTAAAATATCGTGTATATATATACGCTAAAAAGTCACTTGCGGAAACCAATGGACACCCGCGTGGGTTCGTTCGTAACCTCAATGTCAGAGGGCCACCCGAGCGCAAATATCCTAATCTTACCAAATCTTTGTCTCCGCATAAGATTTAATACTTTCATAAGTTTGAGATGTGAGTTGGAACTGAAGATGGAGAGTTTCTACCATATTTTGTAGTAAAAGTTTTACTAACAAGTTAGTTCAAATAATAATTCTCATTAGATTGAGGGCTAATTTGGGAAAACAAAAGTATATATTAGGGCATTAAAAGATTGGAGGTGTTGGATATCACAAGACACCAAATAAGCTTTGCGGAAACCAATAAAAGTTAAACACTCACAGATCCATCTTCCTCTTTAACGTGACCAAATACACGCACTTAGATCCTACACAATTAGAGAAGGCGTGTCGTAAACGTATTTCTGGCCGCCCATTATTTTATGAGACTTCTTTGTCCTTGCATTTTGTAAATACCTTTAACTGTCGTTGTACTAGTTTGTATCCATTTGGGCTTTACGAGATATTATAACAGTACAAGTCAGCGCAAAACGCGGAGAATTGTGATTTCTCTACGTACTAGGTCTAGGAGTAAATGGAAACACCATTTCTCCCCGACTTCGCCGGCGACCACCACCAGCTCATTGGGCTCGACGGTGATTACCGGCCCGTTAAAAGCCTGAAACAATGGTGGGCTATCTTCTGGATCGAGACTTTCAAGCTATGGGAGATTGGTGGCCCAATAGCTTTTAACATAATTTGCCAGTTTGGGATCTATTCCATTACTGTTGCTTTCTGTGGTCATCTTGGTGCTATTGAACTCTCTGCTGTTTCTGTTGCTCAAAATGTCATTGGTACTTTCTCTTTCGGCTGCATGGTTCGTACTACTTCCTCCCCTATTTTTTCCTTTGCTGTTATTGCCAGAAAATTACATAAATAGTCTTTTTATGTTTGGTTGATCTAAAGTAATTCTTTGAAAGCAGTTTCGGTCACGTAAATGTGTCAAAAATATGCACAAAAGTATGCACCTTTTTGTTTTCGTCAATTATTTAAGAAGAATTAACCCAAATAGCTGCTTGTTTGGATGGTTGTTACGTATCGTTTCATAATGTATTGTATTGTATTGTTTGATGAATACAATGTTTGGATAGATTATATCGTTTGACGTAGTTTCATGATATCACGCATAAGCTATATGAAGAATAAACTTCAATACTATAAGGAAAAATTATGATACGGAGTAAAATTATTATATAAAAATATAGGATAAATGATAAAATAAAATCATTTAATTATAATGAAGGGTGAGATTGAGAGAAAAAGATTAGGTAACGACGCGACCACACCAAATCGGTCGTTACGTAAAGTGGCACATTTCGTCGTTACGTAACGACGGATTTAACGATACGATACAATAAAAATAAAATTTAAGTAACAACCAAAACAAACATCGTATTTAAAATAACAATACGATATACAATAGGTAACAACCATCCAAACAAGTTGCTAATCTCTTAAACTAAAATAGCCGGGTATAATATTTGTCTAATTCATGTATAATATGTGTCTAACTGTGTATAATTATAATCTATGTATAACGGCTACAAAAATAAATATTGAATCGCCGACTGTTTGTGTAACAAACCCTTGTTGTTAGATTTAACTTACTTATGAAAGAAAAAGATACTAACGGACCTTCACATTTGAAGGTGCAGTTTTTGCATCTCCTGTTCTGCTACTTTCGGTCTATCTTTGGTGTCTCGTGCAGTTTTGGTGTTGCAATTGCTGGGATTAGAGGTGTTTTTGGTTAATTTTGTTTTACAGTTCCCGTTAAATATAATGACTAGAGTTTGTTAAATATTTAACACGCCTAAAGGTGCTCACTTTTGAAAAACTAGGACCAAAGCTGCTTAGACTATTTTAAACCTACCCCAACATGAGGGACCTTCTTCGTCATTTTATACTGTTGTTGCATAAATAACTTCTGTAATGTTAGAGTCTTATTTGGGTATTTGTTGTAATATTTCTGTAGTTGGGTATGGGAAGTGCTTTGGAGACACTGTGTGGACAGGCATTTGGTGCTGGGCAAATACACATGCTTGGCGTTTATACACAACGCTCGATGATTATTCTATTGTTTAGTACATTCATTCTGTTGCCAATTTATATTTTTGCAACACCAGTACTTAAGCTTCTTGGCCAAGAACATGATATTGCTGTACTTGCTGGGAAATTTGCCATGTTAACAATCCCCGAGTTGTATTCCCTGGCGATCACTATTCCCACCTCAAAATTTCTGCAAGCCCAGAGTAAAGTTTGTGTGCTGGCTTCTATTGGATTTGTGGCTCTTTTACTCCATGCTGTTCTGCTATGGTTATTCATATATGTATTTAACTGGGGAACAAATGGAGCTGCTTTAGCCTTTAATGTTACAGGTTGGGCCAATGCAATGGCTCAATTTGTTTACGTACTTGTCTGGTGCAAGGATGGGTGGACCGGATGGTCCTCGTCGGCATTCAATGAGATTTGGGCCTTTGTTAGACTCTCAGTTTCCTCGGCAGTTATGCTATGCCTTGAAATGTGGTACATGATGAGTATCATTATCCTCACAGGACATCTCAAGGATGCAGTTACTTCTGTTGGATCCCTCTCTATTTGGTGAGTTTTGTGTCTTGGCTTTTTTTTTTTAATAATGGTAGTTTTCATCCAGTTTATGCACACCTCGATTATTTCACAGGAATCTCATTACTAAATCTGCCTACCAAACCTAAGGTAAATACAAAGAAATCACCTAGCGTAGAATCATGTGTAGTTAACATATTTACGGTAGGATGATTAACCGTATAATGCTTAAGCTCGTTAAAATGAAGTTTAACATTCACTTAGGCTAGTGAAGTCTTATCAAGAGATAATTAATTTGTCTAGAGTACTGAATTTTAAGCTTAACTGTGTATTTGATTGAATTCAACAACTAAATGGGCCTGTGCAAAGTTTGTGGCTTTGCGAATAGCTGTTGATGAGATGAAATATTGTTAAGCATTTTTAACCAACTTGTGAGTCGTGTCTCTTTTTTTTCCAGCATGAATGTTGATGGATGGGAAGCAATGTTGTTCATTGGAATCAATGCTGCCATAAGGTAATTGTCTTGAAGCTTGTAGAAAAATGGACTTTATTTGTTTGTGAGTTTGTACTAATGTATTGTTGCTTTCTCAGTGTTCGTGTCTCAAATGAGCTTGGGCTAGGGCGTCCCAGGGCTACCAAATATAGTGTATTTATCACAGTGTTTCAATCACTCCTCATTGGGATAGTCTGCATGATTGTAGTATTGGCAGTAAGAAATCATCTGGCCATTCTTTTCACAAACAGCAAGGATTTGCAACGAGCCGTTGCTGATCTTGCTTGGCTCCTTGGAATAACAATGCTTCTTAACAGTGTTCAGCCTGTAATATCAGGTATTCTTTTCATTCCATTTTACTGTTGTATGGTTAAAAGTGTCTTGTGTCTTTTATAGTCCTTATTGTGATCTTGTTGGGACTATTTTGTCATTTGCAGGTGTTGCTATTGGAGGTGGATGGCAAGGTCTAGTGGCTTATATCAATTTGGGATCTTACTATGTTTTTGGTATTCCTTTAGGATACATTCTTGGTTATGTCGCTAACTTCGGAGTTGTGGTAAATAAACTCTCGTTCTGAAAGTTACATATCTTAAGTACATCAAAGTTTAATCTCACTCTTCATTTATAAGCATCTTTTTATAGGAAACTATTGGTGATGAATAGGAAATGCTTTGTTTTAGTATCTCTAAAGTTTTGAGCCCAATTATTTATTTTATCTTGCAGGGTCTATGGGGAGGAATGATAGCTGGACTTGCTTTGCAGACACTGCTACTCTCATTTGTACTCTACAGAATCGATTGGAATAAAGAGGTAAGTGAAACAATTGGCAATATATGTCCAATTAAATTTTTACTTCATTCTTGGTTGGAATCAACTGCTTCCGTACAATGATTAACCTATTAGAGAACAGAAGATTTTTGTTTGAAGATCATTGCGAAAAGGGAGTTGTTTAACTACTGCAGAGTTTTCTATTCCTCCTCTTTTCTTTGAAAAATTAAATATGAAGCAATACTAGTTAAATATTTTGTGTGTCATGCATTCTTGTTGACCTTTTCTTTTAGTCTTGTGTTGTAAGTACTTAGTTGTAACAAGAAAATGGAAATGCAGGTTGAGCTATCGGCAGAGCGCATGCGCAAGTGGGGAGGTCAAGTCTTTGAAGCTGAAAAACCTCTTATTACCGAGCCTACGAAGGGCTTACCTTAAGAGTAAAATTTTGTGATGAAGAAGAGTCTTCAGTTTTTGTTTCTGTTAACCAGTTAATGATTTTGGATAGAATCTAAATGTAGTGGAGCCTAAATCCATGTCAGATGTAAGGTGGATGACAGCAAGGACAGTACGGGAAATTAGGAGGTGCACACCGTTAAAATACCCATAGAAAAAGGCTAACAATTTTTTTATCGACACGAGCTAAAAGATACTCTTAACATTGTGATTGCGTTTTAATAGGAAAGTAGCTGCAAATTACAAGTTTAGGATAGATGTTCGTTATGATCTTTCTCCATTATCTTTTCTCTGAAACCTCAGTTAATAACAAAGTACCCTTCATTTTGCCAGAATTTCTCTGTTGTCTCTGTGTGTTTGTTACATTACTTTTTCCTATGCCCCACTCCCTCTGTCCAAACTCCATATTCCATCTTCACTGTAGTTGACAAGAAAAAGTTATACCAAAATCAAACAACAGTGTCAAAGTTAATTAGCTAATACTGTAGAGATTTACGTTCTAGAGCCTTCCTCCATCAAATTGGCTATATAGCTAATACTAGACGAAGCATGCCTGTGCTAAGTAGGGCTCTGCATAGTTCGATAAATACTGAATTACCGTACCGAAATCGAAAATTTTGGTATTTAGTATTCGATATGGTATTTGGTTTAAGTTTTAAAAAATATTGGTATTAGGTATGGTATTTTAAAATGAAATACCGATACCGTACCGAAATATATGTTATATTACACAATACACATATTATTAATTATAACATAAATATAAAAATCTAAAATTTTACTTTTCTTTTATTTTCTAAGTTCATTAATTAACTCTAAGCAAGTAACAAGACATTTCTAATGATTAAATTTATTTTTTTATGTACAGTTTTCTCTCTCTGGGTTGATATTTGCTATTTTTGGACAAGCCTTTTGTCAACAAATATTTTTAGTTTTGTACTTTTGAGTACTTTAATTTAGAATATTACATTCTATGACTTTATGCACTAGTTAGTGAATAAACCGAAGTTACCAAACCGAATAAACCGAAACCGAAAGGAGAAAAACTGAACCATACCGAATTTAATTAGGTACGGTATTGGTATTGTATTTTAAGAAACCGAATACCGAAAATGCCGAATCAAAATATCTAAATACCATATCGTACCGACCGACGAACACCCTTAGTGCTAAGCACGGGCCCGACAAAGTGGTACTGACCTATAGAAAAAATAAAAAGGTGCTACGAAACTGTATCTAGTTGTTTACATCACAGACGAACAAAATTTCATATCCCAATTAACAAACGTATAGTGTATTGCAAGAACTTTGCACTACTGGTAAATATTTTCTCCTTTGTATTTGCCCTCAAGAATCAAAAGAAGTTGCATTATAAAACAAAAACAAAGGAGAAAGTTTCACTAAATAGATATATACAATTATTTCAGTAGACATTTTCTAGTTTCTTTCAAGCGCAGCAATTGCCCCAAAAACCTTCACTTGCTTGGAGGCATCTGGAGGCTCACGCAGCACAACCGACAAGCAGAACCAAGCCTACCATTACATCTAGGAGACGCGTGGGCGTGATGTTCTCGAAGCAGATGTGTAAAGCATATCGCTTTTCGCATATCAATTTCCTTAAAGAAGCATATTGGGTTCTCTCAATCTTCAATTCTGCCTTAACAAGAAGAATTAAATTGGAATTTATCAAGATAACTAACATAGAAATTATGTAAGTCCTGATCAAATTTGAGTAAAAATGTTGATAAATTCTATAGATTAGTAAGCCAAAGCTGAAGAGTCGACCATTAATCTTCTTGTAATGCAAAAGAAGCTGCAGATTTTTTCTAAGATGCTGCTCTTTTGCGTGTTATAATTCTAAGTATGAGCTTGTACCAATTACCATAGCACCCGCTAAAAATTGAATTTTTATTTTCCTTTAGTACAATAAAAGTGAGCTACTTCTATTTGTTTTCAGAAAGAAACTAACAGAAATCTTAAGTTTCATTTCTCAAATTGAAACCAAAATTTTCTTAAACATTGAGAAGGTACAAGATTTATCTGAACACTGTAATGGTAAAACTTCAAATGCCAACACACAGATTTACCGGATGAAGTACATGTATTGATCCAATCCTTGCAGTTATTAAAAACAAAATGAAGTGGTCCTAAATGTAGCACCTAAAAGTAGCAGCCAAGACAACTAATCATCAAATATGAGAATGAGAAGCAATTTTGTTTCTTTGCTGCGTGTTGTTGAGGTCTAGTCATTTCCTGAATGACAAGAGCTAGTTTATCAGCGGAAACCCATGATGCATCAACTTTGGACAAGAGAAGTAAGAGTTGACATGTCCATATAAATGACAAACTTGAGCTTGTATCCGCTGCATTCACTGCACAAAGTGAGTCTTATCCTACTTCTTTTTTAAGTGTCCTATGAGAAATCTAATACTGTTTGCAGAACATGATCGATTAATGCATCCCCAACATTACTGATATCTCAAAAACTGTAAGTAATACCAGAAATGACCACAATGAGGCCTAGATCAAGATGGATGCATGTAGAATCTGATTCTGCACCAAAAAGATTGTACCATTTCTTCCAATAATGTCCTCCTGAACTATGGCTAAATTAGAATTTTAGCAATTAGAAATATCTAAAATTTTGGAAGAGAATTGAAGTCCTAGTAGAATAAGTCGTGTCCTCTTCAACTGACACTAACACAAATTCTAGGCATATAAATGGGAAAGTCAACATTAGGAAAGGAGAAAGATGCTAAGATAACGTTTTTGAGAACTTAAGTGAAAAAAAATCTTAAATTAACAGATTGTAATTCTAAAAATAAGACATGCTTTCTTTAGTAGTTTAGAGAGCCTTGTTTCCTGTTCCGCATAACTAATATTGAGCGAAATATACTCTATACAAATGCTCCAGTATTAAATCTTATCTTAGTAATTAAGGCAAATTCTTAGCTTAATCAAGTTAAAGTGCACATCTGGGAAGAAAAAATCATACTCAGCAATTTTCTAGCAAATGAGAGTTCTTTGAGGGAGTCACCTATTTATCATACCTGAAATTATTTCACTTGGATCCTTTTTACTTTAGCGAGGCAAATGGAGTAGAAAACATTGAAACATGATTAATAAGAAAGTGCAATACTTGCTCTCTCTTTTTTTTACTTTTATGAGGCAAATAGAGTAAAATGAGATACTTATATTAAAATGCAGCACGAAGTTATCCATACATCAGTCAAGAAAGTTAAGATAACTGATACATAATATGTTAATAATGCATTCTTGCTATTCACAGAATTAAGCAAAGGGTGGAAAAGATAACCAAATGGGCAGCTCAGTTCAAGATGCATATCTACATTTTGCCTCTGGGTAAGCCCACAATTATCTCCACTCTAATAGAAAAGGTAAAACTTGAAGCAAAAACACTAATGCAAATATAGAGTAATGAAACTATAGTTTTCAAAGTATGAATTTAAGATGAAGACCATGAAGCTAATAGCTATTTCAGTGCTATCAGCAGTTGTCAACGTCATACATTGAGATATTTTTTGTCCCTTTTATTTAGCTTCGATAGACATTTATTTTAATTATATATTTTTCTATAAGTTAGCTTCTACTATTGTTATTTACGATATGTCATCAAATTCTCACAAATCTCAAATATCAAATGTTCAATCACTAAACAACTACTAAATATTAAGATCCTTTTGGATGTACAGATATTAATGATCTTTTATGTGCTTGCACATATAATTCTCTTTGACACGTGAATTCCTCTTCTTTTTTTGGGGGGCTTTTTTAGATTGAAAGATCCATCTCAGATGCAAAATTTAGTTAACAAAGAAGATCTTCAATTAGTTCAGATCCACAAAATATAAAGCAAATTAAATAGAAGGGTTTTGCATAGAGTTCAAAACAAGCAAATATAACATTTGTTTCCCTGAAAATTCCATTCATCCTTCAGCCCTGAAGTCCCTTGAACTGCAGGAATTTCTCAATCAAATAGAAGACTTGTTTGGGGATTGAGATATAATTGTTATTGTTCTCAGTCAAGTGGGAAAATGGGCCATGATCAATGAAAGAGTTGCAGAGCTTCAAGTGCTTGCAGCAGGTTCAACTCCAGTTAATTTAATTGTTTAACCAACGGCGCACAACGCTATACCGAGATGAGCATATATAATGATTGGCAAACAATTTCAGAATATGCACCGAAGAAATATCGGTCTTGCAAAATGTACACGACAATCATTTTTTATTCCTTCGCGCAACGAAACTTGAAAGAAAAATGTTTTCTCTTGTTGCTCAATACAATTGATCTGGAGTTACTGATAATAAATAAAGAGAGATGCTCTTATTTTTATTTAGAAAAATAGAGCAAACTAATACAACTCCTAATCCTTCAATTCATTAGGGAAAAAAACCTAAAGGAAATTAGATTCAACAATCACAACCACAAATGAGAAAATGGACTTTGGTAAAATCACAAATGTAAAATCCTAAGTCAAAATCATAAAACTCATAGAAGCACATATTCCCAAAGAAGAAAAACAAAAAGGAACCTGCATTATACGCACGAAATATGCATAACAAACAAAGGGGGAAAAAGAAGCAATACTCCAGAGCAACAAACAACAAAAAGGAAGAATAAAAGAAGAGAGTAATTTGCAGTGAAATACTAACCTGAACACTGTGAAAGTGAGACCCAGCAGAGAAGACATGGAAAAAGGTAGACTAAGGGAATATTCTAGACGAAGAAGACCGATAAAGAATTGGATGAGGTGGTTAGTCAATAAAACACCTCTTATAAGTTGTGAAAAGTCAAAAATTGCTAAGATTTTGACATTTGGTTAGGAGTAATGGAAAAAATAATCTTCGTCTAAAATTTAAATTATTAATATAAAACTATTCATGCAATGTTTAGTTTCAATTTTTTCGTTTGGCATACCTAATATCAACAAACTTAAGCGGAATTTATGTATGCGAGATAACATGTAAAATATAAATACTAAGACTAATAATACATGGATTTTACAATCATATAACAAAAATAACCCTTCATGCAGTAACCAATATTTTAATTTTAAAATAAAGAAGATATTCTAAGATATACCTTATATAATAATTGTGCACAACAAAATGGAAAGACGAAAGTCTATAATACACACTTTCAGCGTTTGTGGCATCTTGGGGTGATTGTAGTGAGTTAGTTAGCATAGGATGTGTTGAAATGGAGATGGGAGTACAATTTAGAGTAGCATGCAATTTTTCAATCACTAGAATGACTTTCAGAAATTTAGAGTAACATATCTTTGCTACCGACTATCTATAGTGAAGTTTAACTACAGCACATTCAGTAGATTTTGTTGAAAACATTTCTCTGATCATTGAATACAAGTCGGTAGATAATAGACAGCACCAGAAGTGCACTATTTCTGCTGCCAAAGACAGGTCATAGTCATAGTGAAGAAATATAAACAAGCTGCAAGAAGACGGAACCAACATAAATGAACTAATAATATAAGAGAAACAAAATCTCATTACACATCCCCATCAAAAATATAATGTTGACACTGCTTAAGAGTGTTTTAAAAACCTCCTACCAAATAACTGGAACTAACAAACAGCATGAGCTTAAATTTTCTAGGCAGCAGCCTTTTGCTTCTTTGGCACCCGATAGGCACCCACAACACAGGCGTGGTCCCTTTCAAAGGGTTCAAGGGTGACCTGTTCCATAGGTTTAAACTGCTCTGCTTGTAGCTTCTTCACTTCCTGAGCAAATACAGCCTCAGCTGGCACTGTTGAATCTATGCAGTTGGCCTAGAAAAAATACAGGGGAATTTTTTCAACAATAGAGAAGAAAAGAGAGAAAATCAACAGAAAAATAGAAGAAACCAAGGAACAAGTGGCACTGTAAGGAAATATTTTCATCAGCATAACAAGATTGAGCAGTGGCCAAAGTAGTATAATACAAACCTTGATTGATATAACAAAGTGACCTCCAGCTTTCAAGAAGTATGATGCATTCAGAGCTAAAATTCTTGCCTGTAAACAAAATATTTTATTAAAACATTGGTATAGAATTCATACAATATACTGATGCTGCCGGACAAGAATGGAAGGAAATACATCCTAAAACAATTCAAAGGAAGCCACAGTTTCTTCCTTTTTGGGGATAAATCTCCAGACTGTAGCCACAAAGATAAATAGATACAAAATTTACTCTTCCTCGTTAGGCAAATACAATAGGTTTAGGAAGAAACTTAAAGCAAATAAAAGTAAACCAGATATAATAACTAATTACATGATTTAACTCATTAAAGCTTGTTGTAACAAGAAAAAACAACTCGAAATACTTGTGCAAAAAGAAGTATGAAACTGTTGCAGTGTTCCATTTTCTTCAAGCAGAAACAAAGAGAAAGAACGTAAAAGTTATTTTTTAGAAGAAAAAGATGGAAAGTCAAGCTGAAAAAAGAATTCAACTATGGAATAATAATACAGCATCAGAAACTCGGTTTTTGCATCACCCATAATGTCTTGAAGGGGAATCCGAGTAAGTCATCATCTGCTTTCCATTTCAACATAGAGCAAAAGGAAAAGAAAATTCAAAGATAAAGAATCATTTTCTAAGAATTGGGCAGGAAATTAAAAGACCATTATAGATACAAAATTTACTCTTCCTGGTTAGGCAAATACAATAGGTTTAGGAAGAAACTTAAAGCAAATAAAAAGTAAACCAGATATAATAACTAATTACATGATTTATCTCATTAAAGCTTGTTGTAACACGAAAAAACAACTCATTTCAAAATCAACACGAAATACTTGTGCAAAAAGGAAGTATGAAACTGTTGTAGTGTTCCATTTTCTTCAAGCAGAATCAAAGAGAAAGAAAGAGTTATTTTTTTAGAAGAAAAAGATGGAAAGTCAAGCTGAAAAAAGAATCCAACTCTGGAATAATAATACAGCATCAGAAACTCGGTTTTTGCATCACCCATAATGTCTTGAAGGGGAATCCGAGTAAGTCATCATCTGACTTCCATTTCAACATAGAGCAAAAGGAAATGAAAATTCAAAGATAAAGAAGCATTTTCTAAGAATTGGGCAGGAAATTCAAAGACCATTAGGCATTTCTTTGTTAAATAAAAGCACTACAAGGAGCAAAAGCAGCCACAAAACTGTAAGTTCCTTGAAAAAGAAGAGGGATAGCCAAAACAATGATCAAAAAAGACAGACCAACCAAGCTCCAGACTCAACCAAAAAGGACAAACATAATTTTTTTCTTAAAGAAAAAATGATAATGCAAAAATAATATCAATGAAATATAAATCCATGGATCATGCACTCCGAGACTGATTGACTACTATTGCACATCTATGGCCCTAAAAGTCAAACCTGATCAGGCTGAGCAACATCGGAAAATATCACATCCACCATTCCAACAAGCATTCTATATTTTGCTGGGTGTCTAGCATCCTCAATAATAGGGATAACATTAGTGCGTTTCTTAGCCATGTTCACCAAGTCCCTTCCACTTCTGTGAGAAAATTCAACAGCATATACCACCCCACCCTGCAAAAGAAAAGAGAAATTAGTAAATACAAGCACATTCATCAACTATATATGGGACTTTATTATAATAAATAGTATGTGCATAGACACTTACAGGACCAACAAGATCGGAAACATGAGACACTGTGGTTCCTGAAGCAGCTCCAAGGTAAAGGACCTTAGCACCAGGTTTCTGGAACAAATTCAATACAGAAAGAAGAATGTTAATATAGAAACAAGAAATATATTCAAGCTTTTAAATAGAAAAGAAACAAACTTACTATCCAGATATCATCAACTCCTCCAAGAATTGCAGCTGCTAACTTAGAACGAAAGGGATTCCACACTCTATATTCAATCTTTGTTCCATCTTCATTCTAAGGATAAAATAACAATAACATAAATCAATAAGCTTGTACATTAAGGATATATTTTCATCAGCATAACAAGATCGAGCAGTGGCCAAAGTAGTATAGTACAAAAACCTTGATTGAAATAGTAAAGCTGATTAGTTTTGAAATGCACAGGTTAATAAGTTATTACTACGTTATAAATTTATTTAAGCTGGTTAATTCTGAAATAAAAAGGTTAACAAGTTATTACTTTATAGATATATTAAACCTGATTAAATTCTCAAATGTCTAACAAATAGAACAGAACTCCATGGCAAGTCATGTAAATAATTTAAACGAGATGGGTGGAACAAGGGCAAATCAAAATGTTACACTTAATTGCACCTTACAATCAATACATTATACTTATATGCATTTCCTTGTTACTTGTTCCAAGTTGAAAGCATCAGCAAAACACCATTTGACTTACATTTGAACTTGATTTGTAAAGTGATTGAGACAAGTCACAGTCCAATAAAAGGTCCAATCATAAACTTTTATCAACAAATCTTTACTTTAAATTCATATTTCCAATTTATATCACTAAGCTTATAGCACATCCAAGAAAGATTCCACCTTGCGAGCATTTACAAATAATCATCTAAAGTTATGCACATGACAAACATTAAAAACATTTTTTGAACTAAAGACAACGCAAAGCAAATGTTATTAACCTGAACAGAGATTCTCTTCTCATTGTAGACAGCTTCACCGGGCACCAAATTCTTAGTACAAAGAGCATCCTCCTTACCCTTGGCAATAAACACACCTCCATGTCTATGTGGCTCCACCACTACCTTATTACCACCCTTAAACCCTCCTCCACGTCCTCCCCTTCCTCCGCCTCTTCCTCCTCCGCCTCTGCCTCCTCCACCTCTTCCACCACCGCGCTTCATCGCACTTCCTCCACCACCTCTACCGCCGCCAAAACCACCTCTACCACCTCGTCCTCCTCTTCCTCCACCATCTCCTCTACCACCCCTGAATCCACCACCTCCACGACCTGCAAAAGGAGCAAGTGAACAAACCATATATTAGGACAGAAACAAATACTGATATTACTACGTTAGACCTAATTAAGTAGAACATGATATTGATACCTCTAGTTGGTGCAACCATGGCTGCTGCTGCTGCAACTTTGTTGACTGTAGTAAGAGAGCGGAGCAGAAAAGTGCGCTATAGAACCCTAAGGCTGAGTGGCGTTCTCAAGTCGGGGGCGGGGGGGGGACGTTTTATAATGATAAATCAGGGTTTAGGGTTTTGCGAGATGAAAAAAATGAGACGAGTTGGGCTAATGGGCCGTCAAGTTTATTCATAGTGGGCCGATACTCCTCTCCTTTTGAGAATTTGCCGTCGTTCCTTATATTTGTATTATCTTTTAACCTATATCCTATTTTTTAAAATTATTGATTTGGTAGCCATCTCACAAAAAATTCGTAATAATATAACAATTACACCCCTGACAAAAGATATAAAACGATCTCCTTCTCTCTTCTCAGCAACTTTATAAAAAAATCAGAAACTTGTCCATATTCATCTTCAGAATCACACGTGCATGAAGTTGTTTCACCTTTAAGCTAAAACTTCATGCTAATATAGCATGAAGTTGTTTCATATTAAAGCTAAAACTTCATGCTAATGCATGCTGAAGTTATTTATCCTGCAGTCTACAGTTTTGTCATGAATTTTATCTCAAACTTCAGTCTAAACATGCTGAAGTTATTTAGTTCATTTGATAAAGTTTCAGACTAAACATGCTGAAGTTATTTAGTTCATTTGCTAAAATTTCAGACTAAACATGCTGAAGTTTTTTAATTCATTTGCTAAAACTTCAGACTAAACATGCTTAAGTTTTTGTCTTCCAGTATGTAATTTTCTAAAGAGTTTTTGCTAAT